AAAAAAAAACAATATTGGAACACTACAAACCGCTCCCTATCCCTCAATCATACAACTTGCAGTCTAAGCAAAGCTCTATTCCTCGCAGCCCCAAACTTTCCAAACGTTAGATTCTGCTGAAACTACGCCCAGGTCACGGTTGATCGACGTGCTGGCCATGAATTTCACACCCATTCTGCACGGTACTATCACTGTGCGTAGTACTGAAGTACGTAGACGGTAGAAGCACTGTCATAAATTCGCTTGCAAAGTTTTCTAGCGAGATTAGTATACAGCCAATACAAATGGTAGTCACTCATTTGTTACACTGTTCAGGCATAAGCTCCCCAGCTGAAACAATATAATACATCCCTAACTGAAAGCGTAGGCTTGGCAAAGGTGTTTACCATAACCCTAGCATAACTTTACAGTAAGGCGTTACGATGCGAAACGGGCATAACATTCGTGATCATGTGATAAACAACTTGAATTAAGTTACAGACAAGTAATGCCAACCTCCTACGGCCTATAACCCTTTGATATGATCGTCACGACTGAAATAAATGCGATAGTGCCCAACATGCCAAATACCCCAACGGAGAAGTTTTACAGCAGTTCTGCGATTTTGATCGCTTACCCCTCCTAACGTAAACTTACAGTGTGACCTTGTTTTATTTGCATATATGGCTGTGATCAAGATGTCAAGCAACTACCTCATGTTTTTAAAGGATCGGTGATTCTGACCTTCCACTATCTGCCTACCATCACCGTACTGTATGATCGTACCTTGAGGATATGAATAGTCAGCATATCATATAAACCCGCTTTGCGAATGGACCGAAATTCCGGAATGTTACCGAAAAAACTGTAATTGTTGACGCAGGTCTTTCGAGGAATCGCAACAATTTGCAGAGGAAAGTATTCAACAGAGAAAATATGTCAACTCCTCCTTCCTTCCATTCTCTTACTTCGCATTTTTCACAAATAAAACAGGTAAGACAAAACTATAAAAACCGTATACTGTCATTTTGATTCAAGAAGCACATTCTGGGTAGATTCAAATGATATGATTTTATAAGTCGATCACTAACGCAGGATAACAAAAACGCTGGCAGTCAAAGGGGCGGCGCGCCACGCCTCTGAGTTCCGAGCACGGGGAATTCGAAAATTATCTGTTCGCGGCCGTGGAGGGTAGTACGTGAGTTTTTCCATAGTTTTCTTTCCTTTATAGAAGTCATGAACAAAGGACCATTGGCAACAAGACACCTGCCTGAGTAGTCAGGTGGTGCAACTGCCTGAAGAAGAAGAGAAGAAAAAAAACCTTCACGGCAGCACAGATGCAGAATTTCCCATGCTCGAAATCAAAGGCGTCGTCGAGCCGCCTCTGTATCTGCAAGCTTTTTTGTGATCTTGCGTTAGGAATCGGCTATAGAGACTACGCTACTAGGAAAAGATAGGTGAACGGTGTAGAGCCTTCTCACAACAAAGGCGGAGGAAAGACGGCAAATAGAGGTGAAATACGCTGCCGTACAAATTCTTGGGACCAAAATATAGACAGAAAACATTTAGCCCCCTCAAAATAAAGGCTTATCTCGTTTGTTTGCGGAAGAGTTCCTCGGAAAACCATATTATAAACAGGTTAGGCAGACAATCTGAACAGAGAAAAGTGTAAAGATGTAATTTAAAAAGATCAATTTTTGAAAAGTATTTCCCACATAACCGGTTTCGGGGCTAAGAACTAGACCGGAAATGTGACTTCATTGGTCCCCCGGGTATGTAACCCTTTCACCTATAAAAAAAAGCATATCTCGTTTGTTTGCAGACGAGTTCCTCTGGAAAACTATATTATGTTCTCAATAATAAGCTAAACTTATCAAAATGATTTTGATTCCTTCCAGTAAGATCAGAAAAACAAAAGATCTATAGTCCGCGCAAAGTGGGTCGAATTTACAATTGCACTTTTTGTTCTTGATATTTCATTGACTTCTAACTTTTTGTACAGTACTACTTCAAATCTTGAAACATCTTCGAATTAAAGCTGTAGAAAGGTGAAAGTCACATGTGGTTATAGCTGTGGTGAATCGGTATTCGCTATCAATTCAGCTTGACTCATCCGTCATTTTCCAAAAACTTCTTCCATTAAGGAACCATGTTATTCTGTTTCTGTAAACTTTGGACTCAGAAGATTCTGAATGTAGCTATTTAAACACGGTTTGGAAGAATACGCTGTAATCGCAGGGGAACTTCCACATACACCACTTTCCGAATAACGAAAGCAACTACTATGCTACTGCCCAAAGTTCAACTTATTATTGCTGTAAAAGATAATGAAGGTCAAAAAAAGGAAAGGTTGAGAAGAAGTGTGTCTATATTTTGGTCAGCCTTATACGCATATTTTGTTGTCCCTATTTTCGCTTTTAGAAAAACAAGGGCTATTTTGAAATATAAATAAAGACGCATCATTTTTGTGCTTTCATACGTCCACACATAATCAGGACATTTTTTCAAGCGTGGTCATTATTATGTCCATCTAACGCTTCTATTCGAAAAAGAGGAAAACAGCTCACTTGTAAGTTGTAACGAAATGAATATCTTCGTTTTTAACGGCGTAACCACATTCTTCTTCAATTTCCTCGCGAGCTATGTCAACCACTGGAATTTTCTGGAAGTGGAATTTCAACTGGAGTAAATCTTGAAAGAAAGCAGTTCTACTTTATCAATCAAGCCAGCGCATAATTCGAGAGTATAACCATGTGATGCATCATACTTCGTCCAGTCAATATCACAAAGTTTCTTGTTAAAGTTTTCTGGTTGTCGAAGTGCATGGCCAACAAGCACTGCTAAACAGTAAAGGAAGATAAAATCAACCTCAGATTTGTATAAGTGAAAAGAAGCCATACCTGGCCGGAACTGCCTCACGAGGATTAATTTTTTCATGTCGGTGTGGTAAAGTATGGTGGAAACACTGCTATGTCGTAATACAAGATCATAGCTTCGTTTTTTGCCACTCTGAATGCAATGATGCGAATTTCGCAATCAATACGACTTAT